CTTTCAAATATCGCGGTATATTTTTCGAGGTCTTCCGGTAGCCACGTGGTTTATTATATCTTTCCGGATACCAAATTACTATGATTTTGGTTATCGGTATTCACACAAAGAACTCAGAGCTCAAATCACCAATAACTGACACATCAAACTCACCTCGTAAGTACATACATTTTTTAATAATTATTCAAATCTATTTCGAAGTTCTACGATAGCGCCTAAAATGTGACTAATTAACATATATTATATATATATAAAGAAATCAACAAAAGGTCGTAATTTCTGCATTGATAGACTCCAATAACAATAAGTGTGGGTAAAAAAAAACTTGAGCTATAAACTTATAAAAAATACTTGTATACAGAATCAAAACGAAGTCACCGTGCAGTCTACATAACTATAAAGGCGAGTAATTTCCATAGCCACAGGCCGTCAGCCAGTTACGAAGACAATCGGGCTGCGCACAACAACACAACCAGCCAGTCAGTGAGGCAGCCAGCCAGCCGGCAGTGTGGCATACGAATGCGACGTTATTGTCTTCTCCCCATTAAATCAATCACTCAATCAATCAGTTTCACCAATCAATCACTTAGCACAGCTATAAAGCAACAAAAGCAAATAACAACAATAACAATAAGGAATACTATACTCACTTGCAACCAATGACAATACTGACAGCTCTGCGGTCTTATAGCTTTACTGTTAACTCAGTGGAGTCTGCATTGACTTGCTCTGGGTAATAATAAATTGAGTTCCCAACACACAGGTTGGCCAACAATTCAGTTGTCTCAAATCATCGCTCTACATCTACAAGTTTACGGAAAATATGCTTGACTGTTTGTGTGTAAGTTGTAGCGTATAACAACAGCAACAAAACGTAATATCAACATTCACGGCAAACGACGGGCAGTCTGCGATTGTATAACATTTGGCGGCGCTGATATGGTGATGGCGTTGGAGCCACCATGTGCGTCCGACGGCATGGCTCTGAAGTGGCTTGTGATCGGTTACGATCCTCTGGTGTGCTAGCGAAGTGCATATACTTATGTACGTCGGTATGTTTATGAATATAGTGAGTTAGAATTAGAGCGCAAGTGCAGAGAAATAAATAATGAAATAAAAAATTTAAAAAGGTGTTGCCAGAGTTTGAAAAATTCCAAAAAGAAATAATACCATTGACGAGGAATGGAAATTTTTGTTTGAAGAATATATAATATATAGGAGACCGGAGGATTTGTTGACTTGAGTAGTACACATTAAAGGTAAGATATGAACATCAGCAAATTCTAGATGTTTGTTTTTTCCGCCTCTAAAACTTTTGTAACAGAGTAGACATTTAAGCAAGGTATTTTACATAAATTGTACATAATTTTCGAATACGAAGAAGCAAAAACTCCTAGAGAGCCCGTAAAGCTACTTGTCCTTACTTATCAACTATCCTTCGATCGCTCTTTGGTCAATGATCTACTGATTTTCAGTACGAAAGAGTCGAAAGCGTCAAGGAATCAGGTTCTATTTTTTCTTGTTTCAAAATTATTTATAATATCATCTGGGAGCTTCGTATAACTTCCTTATAGCTTTCAATAATCCATAGATTCTGAGACGTAAGACCTCAAATAGAAAGACAAAATAATATCAAGATAATATTCCATATACTTGTAATCCTGCTTAACTTTCTACGTACGAAGTTTTGAATAAATTTAGTAGTCAGCCGTCATTGCCGTCGGGAAAAGAGTTAAGCGAAATATGGTTTTTTAAAAATGCCGAGTTATTACTAAATATGCTTGCTAAAAGTTCTGATCTTGGGTTTGTAGTTACGTCTAAGGGTACAGTGCTTTTTACTTGTATTTTGGTTAAAAAAATCTTATTTTTTGACACTACCACCGTGGGTAGTTCAGGGCCGAAAACACAAAACTGCACCAATTAACTCTATCCTTTGCGAGTTCACATCATTGGATCTTTTTTCATCTTTCATCATCTTTCGTGCGTACGATATGGCCTAGACATCATAATCGTTAGATTTTTATGCGCTTCACTATATCCATGTCGCTGTAGAGCTCATACAGTTCATGCATCTACCTTCTTTGGTACTTATCGTTTACGCGGACGACTCCAAAGACGTTGCAGAGAACAGTTATCTCGAGTGCTTTAACTGATTTCCCATCTTGGTTCGTCATCGTCATAGGACGGTAATGATAAGAGACTTATAGAGCATAATCTTTGTTCGTCGAGAGAAGGATCTGCTTCTCACATGCCTACTGATCTCAAAGTTGGCATCATTGGCAAGAGTTATACTGCGCTGGATCTCCAGACTTAGATTGTTTGTGGTATTTATCCTGGTACCGAGACAAATACACAAAGTCCTTCACTTTTTCAAATTTATAGCTGCCAACGTAGCAGTTTTCAAGACATGAGGAATCTTTGTGTGTGACCTCCAGGTGCTTTGTCTTGTCCTTTCTCACCAAAAGATAAAAACCTTTCGCTTCTCTGTCTAGGCTGGAAGAGGCTGCGCTGCTTATCTTCGTATTTCAGTAGCATTATCGTTTTAGAGTATCACTATTTCCAGCATTACATTGAAGAAGGGCACTGCTTTCGACATTTAGTGTCGAGAAGTCTTTCTTCCAAATTTCGTGGGTATCTACTCACGTCTTTCTGCCAATCTATTATTTTTATTGGAAGGACGTCCTTCTTCTCTCCTCTTCACGCGGTTTATGGTCTCCAGTATACCAGGTATTTTTACCAAAGTAGTTGTAACCTACCACCCGTTCCGCAACGGTATAAAGAGTTTGGGAAATGGAGCCCCACTGTCCTCTCGATGGGAGTTCTTTGTTTAATCAAGATGCAGAGTCGAGTCGAGCTGTCTGCTGTGTTGGCAACTTTTAAACGTTTCGATCTAGATCAATCTAGACACTGTTTTTCCTTACCTGCGTACAAACAATTTTTTTTTTAAATTTTCAAACATCTGGCAATACTCTACATAAATTTTTGTAATGCTTGAGAGCAATTTGAATTCATGCGCTCCCAGGAATTTCACAGATTGATCAACAATTTCAGAAAATAATATATTGACAAGCGAGAACTAAATTAAGCTGGCGCAAAGTAAATTCCATGGATTAATGATTATGCAGGTTGCTGGACAAACATCGAATGCGCCAAATCTGATTGGTTGTGTTTTGTTGCTGTTGTGGTTGCATCTTATTGCTATTCATATGGATAGTTTATGTCAACAAAAGAATGGACGAGCATAAGAAGAACGAAGCAATAGAAATTATAGCTGACAGCGCATAGATCCAATGAATGATCAATAGCAGTCGGAGACGCGGCTACAAGCGGCGTCTGAAGTGGAAATGGCGCAAAAGTGGCGAAGTGACGGCTAGGATTTGGCTGACAATTCCGAAGAAATTTTCTTGCCGACATGTGCTTCATTCTAGTAATCGAACAGAAATTGGTGAGAGAAGTAGGAGCGTTGAAATATGGCTGGTGTTTAAGAGTAGCACTATGATCGTGTTAAAAACTGCAAAAGTCGAGTAAGGCCACAATGAAGACTTGCTGCAAAATGTATTGCATTTACTCTAATGTCCCAATGAAGAAGTAATATTTTTATTAAATGTTAGAAATTTTTAATATTCTAGGTCACAGTATAAGATGTTCGACAAGATAGCCTACTCTTAAAGCGATCTTTTCAGAATTTTACAAAATCAAGTTAAGCTATTTTGACTACTCAATTTTATGTTTAGTTTGCTTTGTTTTGTTATTTTTTGGTCTTACTAAAATGGGGCAAACGCTGTCTTATGTGCCTTTGAGGAACTACACTCATATGGTCAAAACTGAATTTGGCTTTTACAAGCTGCTGCGCCCTGTGGGCTTGCCGATCATTTAGGTAAAGTAAGCGCCAATGTGACAACACATTATCATCACTTGTGATCATCGTTTAGCAACTACGGTAGTGAGCATACGTCGTCGTCGATCACTCGCTCGCTGTCGTTATTTATTTTGGGACATTGCAATCATCATCAACGATCGTCATTCTTTCGTAGATATCGTCCAATTCTCTTGCTAAATGAGGATAGTTTGATAAGCTCGCTATTATTTCCCTCGCAGTAACAAAACCTGTACACTTTCATTTGTCTGAGTAACATAGCCTAGATAAAGGCTGTCGCAGTTTGCGTGACTCACCGACTTAAGATCATTGAAGTGAGTTAGTTTCGTTCAAATTTATAGAAATCTTACCATGACGAAAGGTTATGATGAGTCTCTGTAATGGAAACTAGTATAGGTTGGTACTTACAAATCCCACTTATCTATTAGTAGGATCGGTGGCAATCCACCTTAGATTAGGCGGATTTTCTATCATTTTCTGTGATAAAACTAAATGATCATGAGAGAGATCCATGGCTACTGGTAACGTAATGAAATTAGATGGAAAGAGTCTAATAAAGTTAAGCAATAGCTTCTGGAGTAAAATCGCGACTTTAAAAATGGTGAAGAGAGACAACGATTGCTATTTTAAACAGCTGACCAGATACACATCTTGTTTTCTACTCAAAACCCATGGGATTACTATTGCTCTGAAGTCACATTGGATAGACGATTTGTTTTTCGCTTGTTGTGAAATTAGAACATACATATTCTCCAGTTTTGAAGATTTTTCTTAACAATTTACAAACCTTGACACGTTGGAGCTTACAGTCTTAGAAATAGAACTGGGATAGACCGATATGTCCTCTGCTTTTCACGGATCAAGTGGGACATGACTCAGTTTCTTTGGTGTTTGTGGTGACTTTCAAATACGGTAGCAAGGTTACGCTCGGCCATAGTCCGTTAGACATCTCTATACTCAAGAAAACCCAATTCAACCCTTGGCTAATCAAAATACCTACAAGGTTACCAGAAACTTTGAACAACCTCGGCGTTTGATGAAAAACTTTTTAATTTTTAAAACACTATTGGAGGTTTCATGGACTCGGCTAAGCCCACTGCTGACTTTTTGAGTAACAGCAAACTTTTTGACTTAGTAAATACAGGTATATATTGTTCAAAGTTTCACTGTCTTCTGAGGTGGCCCTCGTAAACTACTACTTTGGATAGAATAAACTTATTACAGCATGCACCTCACTATGTATATTGTTGTTGCTCGAAGTTTTTGGCTATTGGGCGTGTGTAGCTTTGTTGTCACCGGTCCTTTTGTAGGCGCAGCGCTGTCTCACAGTACTATCGCTAGGCGTCTAGCCTGTGGTCATACTACAATTTCCAGTTATTAATTTCTAAATGCGATTGATTGAATGACAAAATCAACAGACAGGTCATCTTTATTACTGCTCAACATATTCGTATTCTAACTTCCGTGTCAGTGGTGAGCTTGGCCGCCTTACAGCTAACAAGATTTAGCTATGTGCTTTTGCTTTCTACCTTTGCGACTTTTGAAAATTGTCTTTCAGCAGTATTGCCATAAAAGTTTTTAGCGTCCGCTTATAGCCTCTATATGCATTGAGCAGGTCAATCAATTAAGTTAAGCTTTGGTGATGTGGCGGCAGCTGGAATTGGCTTTGTTTTTCGGCGCTCAGATTTGGATTTGCAGCTATGTCAGTTTATGTCGTTTAGCGATGGTGGAAGATTGCTTTATGTGGAAGAAATTGTCAATACCGAGCGTGAGTGCCGCGACTATGTCGGACTGCTGTGCAGTCCATCAGTTCACCGTTGGTTGTGGCTCTGCAGCGTCTCTCCTCCTTCGGTTATTTTGTCGCATGATTGTTTGTGTGTCTTCGCTTCGGGCGTTCTGTCGAAGCGACACACTGATTGAGTGATTTGTCTTAGGTTCTTGACGATTAATGGCACAAAACGTAGGAAATAAATAAATTGGCATCTAATGCATTTTATTGCTGAAATGATATTTGATATTAGTGGAATTTAGTTATAGCTGCGATTTTAGGTATCTACATTTATGGTTTGTTCTTGCGTGACCCTTTGAATGTTTATTTATATGCGCGATAACGCTAAGCGGTGAATGGAATATAGTTTGAGCAATTCAGTAAAATTTCATTTTCAAATACACAAAAAAAAACTTCATAAAGCAATCAAAGCTACAGAAGATTGAAAAAATTAGTTTATGTTTGGAAAATACTTTGAGAGGTTAAAACGAGCTCAGTGATAAAAAGTTATGCGAGACTATAATGAATATGAATGTGAGAGGCTGATGTAAGTTTGGCAATGTTAAATACAATTTACGGAAATCGCATTTTTGATCGTCGGAATTCGACTCCGTAGAGCTAAAGCACACGCAAGCTCTGGGCACAATATATCTCTTTCTCTCTTAATTGTTCTCATATATTGTTTTAAATACTTCGGAGATTCATATCTCTAACTAAACACGTTCAAACTCCGCCGGACGTGGCACCGCCCACACTTAGGTGAAACCACAAAACTACAATTTTAAATTCCATATGATTCTTTCACTTTCCAGTATACAAATTATGAAGAAATCAATACAACGGGATGAAACTTTAAACAAATAGTGTCCTTGTAGTGTGCCACCCAATGACCAAAATTTGTCGAACCATAAGTGTTCAAGCTCCTAGTACCGAATATGTGGACCTCAGTGCCTATGGCTGACGTTTTGCCGAAAATATTGGTCAATGTGTGGGATATATAATTGAAATTCGGAGATAATGCTTTTTTGATGATAGTATGTCTGAGTGTCCAAATGCGTCGAATCCGATCAATATTTTCCTTAGCCCTCATATATCTAATAGAAAGATTTTCGAACTTACGGGTGACTGTATACGGCCTATATCAGCCACTATGTGAGTTAATAAATAAAAATTGAGAGCGTATTTTTCTAATAACAGTGTATCTTTGTGCCTAAAACGTATCTTTGTGCCCTAGCCCTCATATATTTATCCAAATTTATGCAGTGTTTTCATATAACAAGCAATGACAAAAATATATCAGCTGTTCATATGCGGATTAAAAAGGGTCTCTTACTTGCCGGATCACACGGGAAAAGGGTAGAGAAGCTCGCCTAACATCTAGCAAGAAATGCAAACCCCAATTATGTATTTAACTATAATAATGATGCCTTAAGCTCCTATGAAAGGTTTGATATACCAGGATTGACTTTGAAATCGCTTTATTGTTTTTAAAAATATTCTCCATTCAGGCCCATACACTTTAGCATGCGTTTGAGCCAAATGTCGTAGCACTTTTGTCAATCTGATTGAGGTACATATCTCCAAAACTGAACGCAACCGCCTCTTCAGGTGTCGAGAAACGTTAACCTCTCAGTTTATTTTTTACGTACGGGAATAAAAAGAAGTCAATCGGTCCAAGTCGGGCCTATACGATATTTTAAGTGCTTAAAAATGCAGTTGTTTCAGTCGATGTGTGAGAGCGCGCATTGTCGTGGTGAAGAGTGATCCCCCTTCGGCGGTTAGTTTTCCTGATTTCTTGAAAGACAACTGGCAACGAATGGTTGTGTACCAGTAAGAATTTACTATTCTGCGTTGTTCCAGTGTTATCGTGGTGACATGTCCAGTTTTTCCAAAACAACAGGCATCATCAACAGACTCATCTTGAAACACACATAAATCCACGTTTCATCATAAGTCACGATGTTATACTTCTAGACGTGTTTCGAAGAATCGCTATCATATTTTTTATACATTTCTCTCGCGAGATCGAATGAGAACAAATTTTTTTTGGTGACATGAAGATCTTGTAATATCAGTTTGCGCACAGCATCTATAGTTTCCGAAACAACAACTGCTTTGGACGACCTTGACGAAATTCGTTTCAGAGAGTACCATCGATAAACCCGGATCCTTGATGGAGCTTCTCCGCCAAAATTTGAATAGAGTTGATTGATATACTATTGCTGAGTTAATCCACCTCGGAAAATGATCGCCCGAAAATTTTCGAGATTTAATTCTTTGGCTGAGACAAATATTCGCTTGTATATCAAAACTTTCTGAGTGGGTATAACATCAAAAATATCTAATTTTATGATAAGGTTGTGAGTTCCAGATTTCAACACTAGGGATGTCAAATCCCGAAATATAAAAGTCAACTTATAAAATACTACATATATAAAATATAGTATTTGGTCGCAAATAAAAATACGTTAGTATACCGTTTCTAAAGTAGCAAAAACTCCTAGTGATTTGACATCTCCTAGTGTCAGCGTCTTCACCTAAATTGGAAAGATCGAGTAGAGAAGTAGTCGATCTTAAAATGTTGATATTTTGTTGAGTTGATTAAAACCGTTTATCGTACTATATTGGCAATAATGAATAAATTAAGAGATATTCTGCAACTGCCTAGGTTTGACGAAATGTCTGGCAGGTGTATGACGAAATGTTTTTTCTCGACTGTGGTGAGTAATTTTAACTTTATTTTTAGTGCATTTGGGTCAGACTTGAATAAAAGTTGAGTCGCATTGGAGTAGGAGGGGTAGACAAGCACCTTTTTTACTTCACTATCCCACTATTGTAGGCGTCCAGTATCGGTACTGATACCTGTATTGCTTTTTATGACTGATCTAAGCCCTTGAGATGTTTTCCCTTAAACGTTACTGCAGGGATTGGACAGCTTAGCAGTGCTTTCAAAGCAAACAACAATTTTGCTATCCATTGTGCGATATATTATCAGCCGAATGTCACGCATCAGCAGCAGAAGCATGCAGCACTGTTGCACAGATGACAGCAATGCAATAAAAGACAATGTCGCTAAATTCTCAACTACGATAAACAGTTGGTGAAAATTATTCACAGCAACAATAACAACAACAACGGAATAGCACAGCTGCAACATCGAAGTACTTAGATTTGAATAACAAAACACAATAAAAAGACACAAACATAAAAATAAAAACAAATAATGGAAATTCTTAGTAAAACATGCAATAACAATAGCAGCAATAATATTTAAAAAGAAAACGCAAACATTTAAAAAAAAAATGAAAAATCTCAAAACACCGATTTTCGAATCACAACAGCAGCCACGTTGGAAGCTGCAGCCACAAGCGCGACCATGGCAAGCCAACGTACACGCAGCCAACAACAAAACCAGCTGAAGTTCATTGTCAGAGGTCAAACGTGTTGTTGCTTAGCGCGCACGCGGACTGACCGGCAAAACCAATTGTGGATTTACCACACAAATCAAAGTAAATAAAAAGTCAAATCGGTAAAAGCTTCTGGGCGTGTTGCGATCGCTTAACTGCAGCATTGCACAGACGCGTTACATACCGAGTATTGGACACAGTAGTGTTTGGTGTTTGCTGGCGCTGCCGTGAATCTCTAACACGAACCGCAAACAATCAACAGCTGCCGCTGCAACAGTAACCCCATCAACCGCCAGAGCCAGAGCCGCAACAGCCACGATAGCTGCCAAACAAAGACGAGCTTCTGGCGCGGGATCGCATCGGATGCAAATTAGCGCAGGGTCAAGTTGCGCTCAATGCCAGACCAAATTGAAAGCGCATTAACTAGAAAACAATAGCAACAACAATAACGACCTTTGCGGTGGATAACAACAACAGTGGCAGGATGAGTGACCAGCGCGGCAATGCCAAATACGAGCGCGAATATTGCGAGTGCCAAGCGCGTTGACTCTAATACAGTCTGCCATTTTATGCTCGGGTTTTCTTGTGCTAGTTAAATGTGGCATTAACAAATCAATTTTGAAAATACTTTAAAGCTTTCTTTTCTAGTTGTCTTTTTTTTTAGGTTTTCCAACGAACTACGCAAGGCTCATTGAGTTCCCTTCGTAGTCGACCACTAACTTCGTCCGCTTGAGATCTGACAGCCCGCAAATCCATCACCTACGGTTGCGTTTCTAATCACAAAGCATAGCTTATCGTTTAGATTTTTCTGAGATAACATTTGTTCTGCACATCGATTTCATGCTAATAACTCTGCCTCATGCTATGCTTGGGAGGCGGCAAGCAGCAATAATTTTTAGTTGCTTAGTCGTCAGCAATGTTTTTGCAAAATTTTTATGCTGATCATCAGTGCTGATGTTGCTGTTGGCGTCGGTTTTCACAGTTAAGCTGGCGCAGTGGCAGTTATGCGGGACATGCGATAGCTTAGTGGGTTTAGTGAAGTTAAGTCAGATCTTGGCAGCAAAGATCTGGTGTGGGCGTATATAATTAGTGCGACTATCGCCTTTTAAGAGGTGGAAAAACGAATAAACGAATTGTTCTGCAAATACTAAAATCTCTAGATTCGACTATAAGTCGAACTTTATAATCTACATAAAAAATAACTCATCAAATCTGGAGTTACTGCGATCTATTGTGATGCTGAGCCTTACTCTGGTGGGTTAAAGTGGTCTTGTGTAGCCTATTACTGAATATCTCAGGTTCCCTGCTGCGTTTTTAAAGCAGAGCTGGCTGTCCTTAGACAGCTGTCGCAAGAACAAGAGAAAATAAAATGCACCTCGGTCTCACTGTTTTGTCACATTTACTTCAAGATTTTTTGTCTTCAGACGTGGCTTTGAGCTTGGCCAGCTGCCGCAATCGAAAGATCTTTCTGGCTTATATGTATGTATTATACTTGTATATATTTCTTGCAGGACAACAGAGAGGTTTGTAATACACTAGCACAAAAGTTGCTCTCGAGTTGTTGTTTGTTCTAAGAAGTAAAAAGCAAATCCATAACGCTTCACATTTGCTTCCCGAGTTGTAAAAATACCAAAATTGTAACAGATGGTTAACTAAAAATTCGTTTTACTCTTACAAATGTAACAACAACTAATAAAACATTTAGTGTAAGTTGTTGTTGTCAAGTGAACAACTATTAGTCGCCATTGTAATAGTTGTTATGTTATAGCTGTATTGTTATTGTATATTTGTTTCAATTGCCAGTTACCTCCAAACCTTTGCTTCATCTTATTTCAGCAGTTTCCTTCATTTCGCAAGCCTTTTATCACCTTCATAATAGTTGTTATTGTTTGTTTTGTACTAGTAATAGTTGTAATATGGTATATTTGCTATCTAAACAAAGATTAATAATTCCTAATGCCACTACGCATCGATTCTTCTGCGAAATCCGCAGCATAAGTGGCAAATATGTGAGCGTCGAGCGGCGTTCGAGAA